ACAAACACAGACAGGGTCGTCCCAATATGCGTTTTTGCAATTTGCATATAGGCAAAAACGCATAAACAGATGCCATAATCGTCCTGGGTTATAACTGGCACTGCCATATCTTCTTGATCGTGATAAGATACCATATCAGCTAGAAATCATTTGTGACAGAAAACACGAGCCGCAAAATGGTATTTTTTTTACAAATCAAAAATGCATGCAAAAATGAAGTAGAAAGAACTGAAGAGGGAAGTGAAATGCAAAAAAAAACACGTGAGATATATGTACTGAGTCCTGAAATTTGTTTTGCAATTTAGAGCATTGTAAGGCCTAAAAGCAGTGAGATATATGACGTGAGCTGGAAAGCTGATTCATAAATATCAAGAAATTTGTAACAGATTGTTTGCTTACCATACATAGGAAATTCGAAAAGATAAGTAACGGAGGTTTTTACTTCTTTCTAGGTGTCTCGACGACGCTTCTCCTTAGTAATTAGTTCTTTCTGGAAAGTGCCTATTCCCAATGTTTCTCCAAATGCACTGAGTCCAAAGCTATTAATTAGCTCTCACTCATTAGAATCCATGCAAAATAAGAGTAGAGCCTGCTCATAAATGTGAATCTGTGCGAAAACTCAAATATGAGTGATAAAACTATAAATTTCATTTTCGCCTGCAATCGTCTACGGGAAAGCGAGAGAGGCAGAAAGGTAATTTTAGCATAGTGATTCTGAAATTATACAATTTTTCAACAATCTAATAAAGTAGGCAAGTTATTCGGATCAAAAAGCCTTTGTATCTAAATTCCTGTTGAAGAAAAATGCATTCCTAAGTGGTGGTGCTAGAAAAAACTACAGATCTGTTGGCAATGCTTTCGAAATTTGACAATTTTTTCGACTGTTCTAGTGTTTTAGAAGCGACTGAAAGCAGCCTGGATTCTTGGACAAGCGCCAGTGCTAGTTCACCATGGGAAAAAATTCGCTCAGGTAAAGCTTAGAAACTTTTTAACTGAGTTCTAAAAATCTTTAATCGAAATTTTTTTTAAATCAAAGCTCTGGGTGTCTAGTTTTTCTTGAAAGAAATAGATTGTGGGAATTGCGGAAATGATGCTATCAGGGAAGAGATACGCATTTACATATACTCCCCATCGCAATACATGAAAAGATGACAGGATCTACTAACCTTTAAGATTTAGTCTGAAAATGGTGGAAAATAATGAGTCCTTTGGGAATTATTTTTCAGGAAATAACTGAATTACAGGAAGCGAGTGTATATTTAAAAAATGCGCGGCCACCTTTAAGTGATGATTATTTTAAACTTTTCGCCACTTACCTAGATAAAGCTTCCTCAGAAAATTATTTCAAGAATGATGAAATTGAAAATAACACTTTATGAATATTCTCTGCTGGTATTCGTAAGTTAATCTGTGAACCAAGATTACCAAGATCATTCAGGATTTCGGTGTGGGTGCCTGTATAAGTCTTGTTATTTGGATGCGTCCGCAAGCTGATCCTTCCGATCTTGGGCTGCATGCTCCATTTCGCATATTATGCGTTTTTACTGTGTAGCGCTATAGCGCTGCTACAGCCAGCAGAAACGCATTTTGTCGAGAGGCTGTCTGTGTGTGTTGGTGTGTGTATGTTCGAAAAGCGAGTGCATTTTGTCACCCACTTTCATCTTAGCAACCAGGAAAGCTGGGAGGCTGAAACTTTGGATACATGTTCCTACCCCGTTTGTCGTCCTCCCGTTTTAAGGTCTTCCCTCACACGCGCCTT